CGCCCCCTGGCGGTAACTGCCGAGCCCGTCAGTGCCGGCGGCTGCGAGTCCGAACACGTGAGAGAAACATCCCTGCGGGCACCGAGGTAGCGAAGGAGGAGGAGGTGCTACAGGCACCGAGGCAGAGACTCCCCTGCCGCCAGTGGTGCAGCCGGGACCTGCACCCAGGGAGGGCGACGGCAGAGCAGAGACCCCCCGCACCCGGGGGGACCCACGCCGGATCAGGGGACGGTGTGAGGAGAGCTCCCCCTGAGGAGGCAGGAGCAGCAGAAACAAGGGGTGAACAGACCACACCCCCCATCCCTGGGGGAGCAGGTAGAGAGATCAAGAGTAAAGTTAAGGCTGGGAAGAAGGGAGGGGTGGGGTGAAGGTGCTTTATTTCTCATTACCCGACCCTGCTTTGCTCGGCAATAAATTTACTTTTCCCAGGTTCAGTCTCTTTTGCCTGTGACGGTGAGTTATCTCCACCCACCAGCCTTTCGGTATTTTCCCTCCCCTGTCCCCCTGAGGAGGGCAGTGACAGAGCAGCTTGGGGGGGCACCTGGTGCCCAGTCAGGGACAGCCCACCAGAGTCACGCTGTGCTCAAACCCTGTGCTCCGGGCAGAGGATCCTCACCACGGCACCTGCCCAGGAAGACAAGAGTCAGAATGTCAGCGATGAGGCTGAGCCCTGATTTCACAGACTGTGTCATGTCCTGCTCAGACGTGGGAAATGAGTGAGGGACTCAGATTTATAAACCCGCAACAGAGTTGACCCTGGGGAGACGAGTCTCAAGGTCCAGACATGTATTAACTTCCAGTGTCCTAATTGGCCACAGGATAACTGGCCCAGTATGTAACGAGTTACGGCAAGCAATAGAGTGTGTGTGCCCTTGCCCTGCTCCATAGCAGTGAAGGAAAAGGGGGAAAGGGAACGGAGGGAGATGGATAGAGAAAAGAAATAGAGATCATCCGTCGGGGTTCCTGCGTTGGTCCCATCCCAGTTTGTCAGGGATGCAGCTGTCTGCTTCACATCTTTTTTCTCTGTGCCTTTCACTCCTCACCCCCCCACTGGCCTTGGGTCTGTCCCCCAGGTCAACCCACATACCCACACCTGCCATGGATGGGGAGGGGTGAGGCACCTCCTGGGATGATGTAATTACTGTGATCATGTTCATCTTTATGAACAGATCCAGGGGGGGCAACTTTAATACACATTTTGTGGCTAATGAAGCAAAGGTCGTTCACTGGACAGATGTCCCTTGAAGCTTCACAAGACGCCCCAGAGCAGAACAGTTCTGCCTTCACAGGCCCCTCCCAGACCCCTTATCAGCCCCACACCACCGACCCCGGGGCTGTAGCTTTGCTGCTTGCCGGTGTTAGACATCCGGGGTGGGGGGCTCCACTTCCCCCATCCCTTATCTCTCTCCGGCTGTTTTCTCTCACAGCTCCTGTTTTGGGGGAGTTACAAGTCGTCTCTCGCACCATCCCCCCAGCCTCTCCAACTGGTACGTCTCCCCCTCCCAGGAGACAAGCAACAGCTGCAGCTCCAGGCTCTGAGCTGCAAGATCCACAGCAAGCACCTGAGGAACCCGAGTCTGTCACACTTACACTAGACGTGACCTTTCCAAACATTCCAGTAGGACCTGGGATACACTTCCTTTCCCTTCACCGTGCCTGACTGCACACTTCCAACGGCTTTCTGACTTCACTGCTCCCCGCGCCAGCACAGTGCAGCCACGTCCCTTTAGAGCACAGCGTGTTCTCAGGTCAGCTCTAAGCACTGCTGCTGGCACCACTGAGCTACTCCGGAGACACTTTATTCTCAGCGAGGCGAAGGGCACTACAAAAAGAGACAGATGAGGTATGCAACCCCTTGTCAGGACTGTCCCTCCTAACCCCACCTTTACAAACACACTCTGGACACAAAACCTTGGTGGGACCATTTTGCTGCTCGTGGACCGGCCAGCGAGCAGACGTGTCGCCGCAGCGTGGGTCCGTCCCCTCTGGTCCCACTCAGTGCCTGGTCAGGATGTGGCTGAGGCTCAGCGAGACAGGTTCTGGGTTCAGGTGTGTCCCGAAGGAGAAGCAGTTCCCACCACCGCCAATAAGCAACAACTCCTCCTCATCTGGCAGAAGGACACTACTGTGATTATGGAGCATTAATGGCCACTCCAGATGCTCCTAAAAAGGGAAAAGGAGATTTTGAACACACAGGACTTGAACATAAGTGAACATCATCCAACACTGGAGAGGTATTGCATATGGTGCCTCATTACAGCGTTAAGAACGGCCATGCTGGGTCCCATCTAGTGCACTACACCACCTGCAAACGTGGGCAAAAGTAGACAGCTAGAGAACACAGGACCGAGGACACTCCTCTAGTAGGTTCCACCCACCCAAGAACTTCAGTGATTTTTGATGAGTGAGAATGTCTTTGTTCTCCCTGAGCCTTAGACTAAGTTTTGCCCAGAGCATGCCAAAATCCTGCTGTGACATCACCCGTATGACTGTTGTTCCCTGAACCACAGAACACACTCACAGAAGAGCTGAGGTTGGAAGGGGCCTCGGGGTATCATCTAGTCCAAGTGTCCTGGGTCAAAGCAGCCTCAGCTGCAGCAGGTTACTCAGGACCTTGCCTAGTCAGGTTTTGTCTCCAGTGATGGAGACACCACAGCAACTCTGAGCAACTGCTCAGTGTTCAGTCAGCCTTGCAGGGAGAAGTTTTATGTCGAAGTGGACTTTCCAATTTCCATGGTGGTCTCTTCTTGTACTTCAGGCCACAGCTATAGCACACAGCAATTTCCACCATGAAGTTCTTAATAGAATTATACCACAGACCTCTATAAAGAGCAACTGAGGCTCTGGTTCGATCTGTTCTCTTCTTCCACAGATAGAATCGCTGTGCTTGTGTCCCTCTCAGTTCAGCTCCCCCCATCTGGAACAAGGCAGCTCCAAGCCCTCCAGTCTTCTGCACACTCAGACTCTCCCTCTCTGTACACTATTATGTTCTCTGGGCTAGTAAAAGCATTTCAAAATTATATTCTGTCTCAAACAGGGAATATTTATTCCACTCACGACTTGCCTACTTGGCATTCCCTACCCCGTTTCAGGGAACAGCCCTCAAGCTACCACATTCCTTCTCACAGAACTGCTTACACTAGAAGAAAAGAGTCCGTGCTTACCACATCAATCGTGTAGTTCGAGCAGAGACCGGTCATTAGGTCCACGACAGTGACACCTGGCACAGAGGATGAGTGAAGCCACACGCCACCGACGAGCAGAAGCTTTCCCTCGTGCACGTGTGCACTATGTGAATACCTGCCAGTTCAAAATGGGACTCAATTCTATTAGGAGGAGGAGGAGAGATGGGCCCCAGAGTCCCTGCTGAATGCCTCCCTCTTACCTTGGAATGAGAAGAGGGTGTGTCTCCACCCTCTGCCACTGAAAGCCGTGTTCCAGTTCCCTCAGAAAGAAAACTGAGCCCAAGGGCCGCTCCGCTGCGCCCAGACCTCCGGCAATGAGAGCTCCTCCTCTCCAGCTGCAGGCACTGTGGGAGTGGCGGCTCGCTGGGACCGGGCCCTCAACAGGAATCTAGGGAAACAGAAGTGCAAGGCTGAGGTTTGCCCAGCAAAGTGTCTTCTTCACGTCCAGGCTCTGACATGGTCTCTCCTCGCTGCACGCCCCGTGAGATGAGACATTCTTCCCTGCCATGGGGCAGGAGGCTACTGGAGGGGAACAGGGCAAGTGTGACAGGGAACGACCAAAATATCCAACCTATGATCCCCTAGGGACGGGCAAGCAGTTAGTTTCCAGTTACACGGTCTCCAATATTTCTCTGGCCCTCAGTGTTTTTCATATTATTAGAGGGTTTTATTTCCACACGTTTATCAGAGGTAACTTTATGTACATTCTTGCAGGCTGCTTCCTGTTCCAGACACGCACTGAGAACCACAAGTTTACAAACACACGGGCTAGGGCAGTGGCCACCAAAGCAGGGGATCAGTGGCCCAAACCACAGAGCAGGACAAAATGTTGAACTGCAGAAAACCTTCAGTGCAAGCACTACAGAAAGGAAAAAACATAAGATCACAGAAGCACAGAATGGTTTGCGTTGGAAGGGACCTTAAAAGTCATGTAGTTCCACCCCCCCTGCCCCGGGCAGGGCCACCTTCCACCAGCCCCGGGGTGCCCAAAGCCCCGTCCAGCCTGGCCTTGAAGGATGAGGGGCTTAAAGGAATATCACAGCAAACAAGCTGTGAAGACAGTTTTGGAGGCCATCTGGTCCATCCCTTTCTCCTAAAACAAATTCAACTGTATCGATTATCATCTGCAGGGATGGTTACTTAAGTTTCCTAAAGTGCAGTAATGAGAACTTCTCACCTCTTTAGGCAGTCTACTGAAGCCCTTGTGACCCCCTTCACAATTAACAGCAGTTCTCGGTATCCAGCTCAGCTCACCCTTCTACAGGTTCCTTGTATTAGAAGTAAAAACAGGGGACAATTTGTTTGTCCTCTGCAGCTGTATGTTACACATCTGAAGATTTATTTCTGCCCTGAGTTGCCTCCAGACTCAGTGGCTCCAAGTCCTTCCAGACCTTCCCCCGTACGGTGTGTGGTCTGGCCGTTCTCACCGCACACCCCTGGAAAGCTGTCCTGACCCGACCCACCTTTTGTGCCTCAGGAAGCAGCTCGGGGTATTCTACACGGGTCCTGCTGAGGCTGAGAGCACTGAAGAGAACAGAAGGGCCAGTTCATGTGTCCTACAGATAACATTCCTGGTGACATACCTAAACACACAGTCCAGGCCTTCCACACCAGCACGGTATTGCTTACCACAGCTAGCTTGTGCTCCTCTCTCACTATGCATCTCTCCACCTGGAACTGTGCTAGGCACTAATTTTAAAACTCAGTCTATCTTTAGTAAACTGCAGTTTGTTTTTACACAGGTGTTTCTTCCATGTCAAAGTAATTTTGAATTTTCATCTTCACTAATGTGTTATCGAGCCTGTTCTGCCTGATATTAACTGCCTCTACAATATAAATCCTCTTTGCTTCATCATTCTTGTCATTGAAAATTGCACCTCGGGGCTGATCCCGTGTGACACCACCACTTCCACAGAGTGTGATTTCTAAATATTCTCAAAGTCTGATTTCCCAGAAATTTTGCACCACCTTGCAATACTCATGTTCAAACGTTTTCTTGGTGCGTTGTGGAAGTGTCACACAAGATGTGTCAAAGTCGTGACATGTATCCGTTCCTCAGGACAAAAATCTACTGCCATGCCATCGAAAAATAATGTCACACAGATTACTTCTTGAACTCTTGTTGGTGATCACTTATCTCCCAATTATGTCCCAGATATTTACAGTCTGTTACTCGTAGTTTCTGTATTTCTGAGGACCTGAGATGAAGTTGATTTGGCTCACCTAAAAGAAGTTCAAAGCACATTATGTGGAGGGTGAGAGCATCTGTTTCATTAAGGTTACTGAACCACAGTCACTTTCAGTGCAAATGGAATAATGAGCAAAGGTGGAACTGATAAACAAAACCACGGAGACACAGCCGTGTGTCCTGACAGACCAGGGCTAAGGGAGACAATGCCAAAGATCAAAAGCCTCCAGTCACTAATCCAAGGGCCGCTGAGACACTCCAGGTGCAGCTTTAGAGAGTGCCAGCCTGGGCTTCGGGACTGATAAGCAGGGGGAAGTGAGGAACAAGAGGATTTGGAAGGCTCAAGGCAGGGCCTGCGGGACTAACCCAAAATCTTACTAAGCAATGTTTAGAAAGGGATCACTGGGGAACAGAGGGGGAATGAATAGAAAAGGGCACAAGAGGGTCAGTCCCACGTAAACAGTCACTGGGCAGTGCACTTGTCTGAGCTCTGCACCTGATCAATCTGGATCTTACTTATTAAATCCTTTCGTAACTCTGTGTAATCCCACGTGTGTGAGTGATGCAAGGACGAGGTGCCTGCAACGGCAGAGACAAACATTAGTGAATATGGAGCCAGCAAACGGAGTCAGAGCCGGGGGAGCATTGCTGGGCCTTTTGTGCCAGCACCTGGAGCAGGGGAGGGTCCCAGCAGCAGGAGTTGGGGGGGCCACAGATCTGGGAGCATCTTCCTGGCTCTCAAAGCCTTTCTGTCCAGAGTGCCAGCTGCTGGGGCAGGCAGGGCCACAGGAGTCAGGCTGAGGACGTCAGCACCCCCAGGGCCCATGGCATGAGTGGAAGTCTCAGGGCCAGACAAGCGGGACGAGACCACCACAGGCCACAGGACCTACGCGTGTCCAGAGGCAACTACTTGGGTGACCGGGGCAATGGAATCGAGTGAGAATCTCAGCCCCAGCAGCTGGACGGGACCACAGGTCACAGTGCCCATGTGCCTGGATGCCAGCTGCTCGAGGGGGCACCACTGCGTTTGTGTTTTCCTTGGATCTTGCGTGGATGTGAGTGTGTATCTCAAGACCTTCCACCATCTTGGTCACCCTCAAGAAGAGAATCAGAATCACAATATCTTGAGTTGGAAGAGACACATAAGCATCACTGAGTCCAACTCCTTGCTCCTCGAAGGACCATCTAAAACTAAACTGTATGACTAAGAGCACCATCCCAGTGCTCACTGAACCCTGACAGCTTGGTGCCGTGACCTCTGCCCTGGGCAGCCTGTTCCAGGGACCGACCACCCTCTCAGGGAACCACCTTTTCCTAATGTCCAACCTGAACTTCCTGACACACATTTATTCCATTTCCTCACCTCCAGATCTCTCTGTGAGGCCGCTCGACCATCAAGGGAGTCCAGAGCTCCTCCTAATTTACTCCCACCAGCAAGCTTAATGTACTTTTGACTCCTGCATCCAGATCGTTTACAGAAATATCCAAGAGCAATGGCCCTATAACTGAGCTCTGATAAAATCGAAACCACCCACATCTACTGGCTTCCCTTGCTCAAACAGATGGGTGACCTGGTCATAAAAGGAAATTGTTCAATAGGGCTTTCCTCTGATGAACCTGTGCTCACTATGACCAGTCATGGCATTGTCTCAAGTGTTTTTCAGTAACTCCCAGAATAACTTTCTCCATAATTTTACCAGGTACTGAAGTGAGACTGACAGGCCTGTAATTACCAGGCTCTTCCTCCTTACCCTCCCTGAAAACTGGGGCATTTCCCAGCTTCCAGGCATCTGTGACCTCCCAGACTCCAAAGATTGTTGAAAAATAATGCAAAGAGGTCCCACAATAACATCAGCCAGCTCTCTCGGTACCCTGGTACGAATCCCACCAGGCCCCACAGATTTATGTGCGCCCAGCTCGAACGAGTTTGGACTCAGCTGGGAGTTTATCATTCCCCCAGTCACAGTCCTCCAACAGTGGGCTCCGGGGTCCTAGAGCCACCACTGCTCTCAGAGACAGGCGAAGAAAGCGTTACAGTCTCCACTTTTTCCATGTCCCTATCTGCGAGGTGACTGTCCTCATCAAGTAACAAAACAATGTTATCTCTGATCCTCCTTCTGCCGTTAACAAATTTTTAAAAGCCCTTTTTGTTGTCCTTCACAGTGCTGTCCAGCTTGAACTCTAATCCAGCTTTGGCTGCACGAATTTTCTCCCTACAGTGGCAAAGTGTCCTTGTTTCCAGTGTCCACACACTTTCCTTCTCTGCTTAAGTTCGGGAAGATCCCTGCTCAGCCAAGCCAGCCTTCTGCCCTGCTTACCTGACTCCTGACACTTTAGAACTGCCTGCTCCTGTGCTCTTAAAGAGCAGCCAGCATTCATGGACCTCCGTGCTTCAAAAGCAGGTGCCCAAGGGACCTTACTAAGTAGTTCCTTCAGCAGCCCCAAATCCCCACACCCAGGGTCGAAGTCTGCTGGCAGTTCTGCTCCTAGCACCAACCATTTGAACCTCATGGTCACCGTGACCAAGACAGCCACCAGTCACCACTCTGGTTACAAACAACAAATCCAGGAGGGCACCTTTCCTAGTTCTCTCCTTTAGGACCTGCACCAAGAAGTTATCTCCAACATGCTTCAGGAATTTCCTGGACCTGTTTGCGTTCGCTGTATGACGTTCTGTTGATGTCTGGGAAGTTAAAATCACCCGTAAGGACAAGGGCAGCTGATCTAGAGATCCCTTAATTGCTTATAGACTAGTTCACCGGGGGTGTCACCCTGGCTGGGTGGTTGACAGCAGACCCCCACAGCAACATCCATCCTCCCCTTAATCCTTACCCAGAGGCTCTCAACTGTGTCCTCGCTGACTGGAAGCACCATAGAAGCCAAGCCCTCCTCAGCACAGCACCACCCCCAGCCTTGCCTGCCCTGCCCGTCCCTCCCGGAGCCTGTGACCGTCCCCACAGCACACTCCGCCCACCAGGCCTCCCTAGTGCCAGCGATGTCGTAGCTCCGAGGCTGGGCTGAAGCTTCTAGCTGGGCCACTTTACGCCTCCTGCTGCACACATCAGCACAGAGACGTTTCCAACATGCTGCAGCACACTCAGCACCATGAGCAGACTGAAGGACCTCGTAGCACACTCAAACACCGGCGTGCTGTCCTGTGGCTAACCACTAGCAGGCCTGGTTTTATCCCTTTCCCCCTTCAAATCTAGTGTAAATCTCTTCCAATGAGCCCTGCTAACTCCTGTGCAAAGACCCTTTTCCCGCTTTGAGAAAGGTGACCCCATCCATTGCCAGGCCTGCTGTTGTGTAGACTGACCTGTGAGCAAACCCCCAACATTCTGCCAGTGACACCAGTCACAGAGTCAGGTATCCATCACTTGGGTCCTCCTGGTTATTTCAGCATCCCTCCCTGCAACTGGAATGACAGAGGAAAACGCTACTTGTGCTCCTTGAACCCTTAACTAGTTGTCCCAAGGCCCTGAAGTCTCTCTTGATCACCCTTGGACTTCTCACTGCAACTTCCTTGCTGCCTGCATGAGAAATCACTAAGGGAAGATAATCTGAGGGTCGTACCAGCATGCCAAGTGTTCTTGTAAGGCCTTTGAGCTGGGCGCCATGGAGGCACCAGACTTCCCTAGGAAGTGGGTCCGGCGGGCAGACTGGGCCCTCTGTTCCCCTCAGAAGAGATTCTCCTATGACAACAACCTGTCTTTTTTCTTAATGGAAGTGGTTTTGATGCAGGGCGTAGGCCAGCTTAACCCTGGCAACACCTCCACCGAGATGGACCACCATCCTCACCACTGCTGGGTTCCCCTTCCAGAGCCTCACAGCCACCTGAGAAGGTGAGGTCGTCCTGGAGAAGGTGGGCCTGCTGCACCCCACAGGAACTTGCTGCTCTTCTCCCCTATCCCTTAAATCAGCATGTTCTGTGGGGCGGGGAGAGGGCAGGGAATCCCCCGTATCTGCCTGACAGGTCTGTCCCAGGGCAGGCAGGGTGCAGATCCAGCAGACAATCTCCTCAGACTCCCCGATACTCCTCAACCTACTCACCCCCTCCCAGAGCTCTGCCACGAAGCCGAGGAGCTCCCCTCCCTGGGTGTGCTCACGGCTGCCGGCTCCCCGCACACCGGGGGCTGGCTGCCAGTCCCGGTGCTCCCCAGGGGCTTCTTTTACAGTGCGGGGGGCTTGGCTGCTCCCAGCCCCATCCCTGCACTCCCCGAAGGCTTCCCTGGTTCAGGAGAGCCCCTGCACACTGCGCCAGATCGTGCCAGCCCCGAGCTGCTCGCCCCAGGGACTGAGCACACTCACGGCAAACTCTTAGCAAGGTGTATAAATGCCTAATGCAGAGGTGAAAGAAGGCAGAACGTTCTCAGCGGTACCCAGCCACAGGGCAAGAGGCTATGGGCACAAACTGAAACACAAAAAAAGCTCACTGACCCAGAAAAACCCCTCAGATCTTACTGCGAGGGTGGTCAAGCGCTGGGATAGGCTCCCCACAGAGGCTGTGGGTTTCCCTCTTTGGAGAAAATCAAAACCCAGCTGGACAGGATCTCGAGCAACCTGTTCTCGCTAGACCTGGTTTAAGTAAGGGTGCTGGACTAGATCTCCAGACGTCCCTTCCAAGCTCAGGTATTCTGTGAGGGCTGTACCCTACCGAGCAGCAAGGTGTTCAGAAGTCAGCCCGAGCTCTGATCACCACGCAGCGTGGCAGCACCAACGCCACCTGCTTCAACACGGTAACACCGCTGTGACTGCGTCGCGCTGCCCAGGCAGCAGCACGAACTTTGGAAGGCAGTTTCTACTCCCCAGGGCCTCCCTCAGGTCTTACCACACTGCAGGAAAGTTCTTGAGTGTGCAGGAAATACCAATCCCCCAGCACAGGCTCCATCGCAGAGCGACCACCATACACAAACAGGTACTGCTCGCCTGCAGGAAAAGACAGCCAGGTGAAAAGGGAAGTCAGAGCCTGGTACATCAGAAAAGCAAACATTTCTGTTTGCACAGAAGGGAAGATATCCAAAAATAGAAATTAATGCAGTCAGGCAGAGGTTTTAGATACTGTTTATAGTAAGACATATTGCAACCTGACAAACATTACCAGGCTTCAGCAATAAATGCAAAAAATTGTTTCATAGATACAGGAATTACTCTTGTATCTAGATCTTTTATAAGACACATGGAAGACTAAATATTTTTACTAAGAAGCTGTATTCTTCGTATTTGTGGTCATTCAGAACCCCCCATCATCCACTTACATTATGCAGTTTCTGATGTGTAAGGTCTAAATGGAAATCACACACTACAGTCTCAAAACCAAAAGGAGAAAATATGTTTTTTACTACACCTAATGGATTTATGGAATGAAAATTTAGGCTATGGAAAGATTACACCTGGAGAACTAACAAAACTAGAAAAGCCTAAGTACATAAGCAACACAGTGACATCTATTTATCCCAAGAAAACAGATTAAGTCCTCATAAGACAACAAGACTGTGCATTTGTCCATACGGAAGGGAGATAATAACTTAAGTGTGTAGGAGTTAATCTGGAAAAAGGCCCATAAAGGAGGCACAAAAGGTGCAAGAGTACTCTGGGCAAATGTCCAGGCTGTGGGTTAACCCCGCTGCACCCCACCAGCTCACTTCTGCCGAAGGGAATGTGCCAACACCACCACTGCTGGTCACGTACTTCAGCTACAACGCAAAACCAAGGCAAAAATGACACAATGCAGTCTGACAAAGACAAAAGCCAGCGTATTCTTTATAAAATTGTATTTACCCATTTAGCATTTGCTGCTTTGATATAAATTTTTGACTGGAAGGCAAAAAACGACATTATGATGTTAATTAAACACTGCTCCACACACTCAAAGTACGCTCCAAACTAACAACTGCCTCACGATTCCCCTGTGCTGTCCCTCAGCAGTTCCCTGCCAGCAATCGCAGAACAAAACAAAAGAACAAAAGAAAGGACAGCTTTCACCTCCAGAATTCACAACTACTGAGTATCTGTCAGGTGCTACTACAAGGGTAACATTGCTTGCGAGGCGCTTCTCCTGGATAAAGACCTAGGGATCCTGCTCCATAACCTTCCAGGATTAAAATATTCATCTTCAGAGAGGAACTTCTGAAATGTCTTCCTGATGTGATCAAGCATGAATAACTTCAGCCGTAAATGATCTCAAAGCATCAGTCTTCCAGAACACGTTACATCCCTGGGTTTCGATTCTACTCACCACAGGGGATTATGTGGTGTACGATAGCGGAAATTTTTGCATTTCAAGTGTCAAGAAGAGGTCTCCAAGCCTCTTTTAATTTCTTTTCTACTAGCAGACTTGCTGAACTTCAGGGCGTTCATACTGGCCCTGTTCTCCAGACCAAGTGCAAGGTCCTGCACCTGGGTGAGGGCACTCCCCTGTATCCATACAGACTGGAGGACGAATGGATGGAGAGCAGCCCTGCAGAGAGGGACTGGGGGTACTGATAGAAGGAAAGTTATGTAGGAGCTGGCAACGTGCACTTGCAGCCCAGAAAGTCCACTGTATCCTGGGCTGCAGAAAAAGAAGTGTGGCCAGCGGGTTGAGGGAGGTGAGACCCCACCTCTGTCACTGCATCCAGCTCGGGGGCCCCCAGCACGAGACAGACACAGACCTGCTGGGGCGGGTCCAGAGGAGGCCACGAACATGATCATGGGGCTGGAACACCTCTGCTGTGAGGAAAGTCTGAACGAGTTGGACTGTAGTCTGGAGAAGAGAAGGCTTTGGGGAGACCTTACTGCAGCCTTTCAATACGTAGAGGGGGCTTCTGAGAGAGACCGAGAGACACATTTTACCAGGGCCTGCAGCAACAGGACCAGGGGTAATGGTTTTAAACTAAAAGAGGGGAGGTTTAGATGAGATCTGAGGCAGAAATTGTTCCCTGTGAGGGGGGTGAGGCCCTGGCCCAGGTTGCCCAGAGAAGCTGTGGCTGCCCCCTCCCTGGAAGGGTTCAAGGCCACGTTGGACGGGGCTTTGGGCAGCCTGGGCTGGTGGAAGGTGGCCCTGCCCGGGGCAGGGGGTGGCAATGGAGGGGCTTTGAGGTCCCTTCCCACCCAAAGCAGTCTGTGATTCTGTGACTGTGACACAACGGCAGAACAGTATTCTCCATTCTAGTTCTTGTTCCTTTACCAGTAATTCTTAACATGAAGAATGCTTTAGATTTGCTTTGTTTTCCTTGTAAGCATCTGTTTATCACCACAAAGCCTCACTCACTAGCAGATCTGCTGAAAAGCTCACCTGCACACCCACAGAGAAAGACAGACACAGAAGGGAGTGGGGGAACCCAAATAATATCCTGCCTCAGCTACTTCTAGACCCGTTCCAGGAGAGCAATGAGGCCGTGCAAGGCTCATTTCCCCGTGCACAAGAGGCACAGGGAGGCGGTGGAGGTGTGCAGGACCCCAGTTACACGCTCACAGAAACAGAGGATCTGTCCCAGCTCCTCCCAGAGCTGACCCAGGAGAACTGTAAGCCCTGCTTTCTGGCTGTGAAACCATCAAACAACTCTCTGAGGGCATAAAAGGATAAAAAGGACGAGTCACACGTCAGCAGAGGGCTGGCGGGACGCCTGGCTGGCCACATCCTGCCCCTCAAACAGCACCAGCTCAGAAGGAGACTTTGCACTTGTGGCTGGGTGTGATTGAGAGGGGAGCCAACCGCCTTGCAGCTGCAGGTAGAGAACACAGCACTTTCAAAAATGCATTCTGAGCATTTTCTTGGCACCACACAGTCACAGGTATCTTTTGATTCCTGCTCTGCATCTAGAAAACTCACAAAATCGTAGGTCATCTATGACAAAAGTCATTATCCCAGGGTACCTGCTGTATAGGGTCTGTAACAAATCGATCATGTATTAGTGGCATGGATAACGGAAATCCTGCCCAATTGTTGGATCAGCCAATTCAGCTGCTCAGTTCGGGAAACTCAGGTGAGACTGCTCAGGTATTTCCCTTTTGTCAGATTTAGTAAAGCTTCTCACAAATACTTTTGGACTTGACAAACCCACCAAGAACTGGGTAGACACGAGAAGAAAACCACATTCCAATGAAGTTCAAGCCTTTAGTCTCTAATCATGGTTAAAAAAAAATCACCACTGGAACAACATCTTTATAAAATGTGACTGGATTCTCTAAAGTGGTGATGAATCTATCACCATCACCCTCTTCCCAAAAAGTTCAACAAAAAGCTGTTGTTTCAGATGAAGGAATAGAGTAACCAACATTAACTACGTAGCCTGTACTACATAAAAAGTAAGGCTACATCATGATAATTTGCCTTTTAGACCTCACTGTCTGGACAGGACTGCCCCATATATTCTGAAATGTGTATACCTCTGCGTACCTACAGCCATTTCCACTCTTTCCATGCGTGTTACCTCTGAACATCACTTCAGTCGCACTGTGCCTCCAACGCAGGGCAGCTGGTTCAGCAGCAGGCTGCACAGGCACAAGCTCCACTGTAATGACATCCAGGTCCAAGGCGTTAGAGGTGTCAGGGAACTTCAGCCACAACATTCCCAAGCCTGCACTGGATGGGGATGTTCGTCCTCCTACCACCAGGGCCAGACTGTTCGAGAGACAGGACACAGTATGGTACAGCCGCCCATCTGCAGAGATACAGAACATCATGGTTCACACCAATCTTTCTCCTGTGAAATTTATAGAATCACCGAGTCATTCAGGATGGAAAACACCCTTAAGATCGAGTCCAACCAGGAACCTCACACTGCCAAGGCCACCACTAAACCATGCCCCCAAGGGCCATGTCTACATCTTGTAGACCCCTGCAGGGACGGTGACTCCACCACTGCCCTGGGCAGCCTGTTCCAGGGCTTGACAACCCTTTCAGGGAAGAAATTCTTCCTAATATCCAACCTGAGCCTCTCCTGGCTCAACCTGAGGCCGTTTCCTCCCTTCCCATCACTTGTTCAAGAGACTCATCCCCCCTCTCTGCCCCCTCCTGGCAGGGAGTTGCAGAGGGCCAGGAGGTCTCCCCTCAGCCTCCTCTTCTCCAGACTGAACCCCCCAGTTCCCCCAGCCGCTCCCCAGCAGACCTGTGCTCCAGACCCTGCCCCAGCTCCGTTGCCCTTCTCTGGCCACGCTCGAGTCATTCAATGGCCTTTTTGGGGTGAGGGGCCCAGAACTGAACCCAGGAATCGAGGGGCGGCCTCCCCAGTGCCCAGCCCAGGGCTCAGATCCCTTCCCTGGCCCTGCTGGCCACACCAGTGCTGACACCAGCCAGGATGCCGTTGCCCTCCTTGGCCCCCTGGGCACACTCTGGCTCATTCTCAACCCCCCTCCAGACCCTTTCCAGGCGCTTTGCCCCAGGGCTGTAGCACTGCAGGCGGTTGTTGTGCCCCAAGCGCAGGACCCAGCACTGAGCGCTCAGAACCTTCAGATCTCTGACTGCCAGAATAACTGCAATGTGACAACACTTTTCTGTTAGACACTACTTCGTGGTTAGCACAAAAACTTCTTCCTTACACTTACTGTCAGTACGGAAACTCACCCCATCTTTTATCAGGATTTTCCTGTTTCACACAGCCAGCTTTCCAGCAGCCCCTATGCTTAATTAGCACCTGAAAATTTCTCATACGGCAGTGCTGTCCATCCTCCTCCCCAAAGCCTCCAGTGGTGAGAATCACGTTGGGTTTCATGAGAACGGAGTGGTGACCGTAACGTCTGAGGCCGGGAACTTCAGAGTGCCTTGCACACACTGCTGCAGTGACACTCCCAGCCACCCCCACAGGAGCACCGTCACGAGGAGCTGGAAGCCAAAGAGAACCAGAGAACTTACCCACAAACAAGAACCGAGGGCTACGTTTTACATGAGAGATTAAGCAACTCCAGCTTTACAAGAAAAGATTGTGAAGCGAGTTGACAGAGCACACAGACAGTGACATGCCATAGAAATCAAGTTGTAATGGTTCAAACCACCACTGCGCCCACTTCCAACTCCGCTGGCTGCTCCCTCAGGCCCTGACCCAGTTCTGAGACAGCTCTCATGGGGGGAGGTACAACTGGCAGAGAGACTGCAGGGTCCTGAACTCCTGCAGCAATGCAGGAATCACTGCAATACCTCCAAATCAGAGCCTTCCCGATGGGGACAGCAGCTGGCCACTTAAATAGCAAAGAACAGCAGAAAAAGGACAAACCCCGGGAAGCTGGATGTCTCTTGCTAGGTTTTGATCCTACCTTCACAAACACATCAAAATAAAGCATGACAAATAATCTCTGTTCATTCCAGCAGTCCTACTGTAACGTAGTATTTTCAGTTATCTAAATATTTTCTAAGTGCTATATCCCTTTGGATGAAACAAGCTTTCAGCGCAGGACTCCAGCTCACCTACACACTGTTCAAACAGCTTTCCTTTAATCAGTTTCGAATTTGGGTCGTCTTTGTTTTAAACAAATACCTTATTCTTGTGCTATAGGAGATGATGAGGGGGAGGAGAAGCAGCTCTGCTTTTTGTATACCACACCCAGAAAAGTTGCCTGATACTACATTCTATTGCTTGATGAAGTAAAAAAAAAATCATCTCCTTGGGCTTAAATGTCTTTCTACAGATGGATCTTCCTAAGAATGAGGGGTTTTCATTTCAGAAAATATACTTACCATGCTCTGTTTGCAAGATTTAGTACTTGCACTCTCTTGAATAGGGACCCAAATCTATTTGAGGGGATGGCTGGTGGCACACACTGTTATCTGAGACATACCTTTTGCCATTCCCAGTAAAAAATATCCAAGTGTGGATGGTTTACAAGACTTCAAAGCTCTTCCTACCAGTGCTGAATGCAACAGAGACAGCGGCAGGAGGACTCTATTCCTGTCTATAATGAATGAAGTGTCTTCATTGTATTAATGTCAGATAAGCAAATGTCAGATTTATTTTTAACGTAAGGATAGATCCTACACATTCAGGAGCCATTAAGGTTTAACATAAGGACCACTGACCATCACACAGTATATTTAACCACATACAAATTCATTGAGCTGCAATTTCACTGCACATTTTCAAATCTACTCGAGACACAGCACAATGGATTCAGTGGCCTTGTTGGCTTAAGGAATGCCATCCTGCCTTATCCTTTTCCAGCTGCTTTTCCTGCTCCCTAGAACTCAGATTTTGACTTTCAGCTACAGATAGAAATACCTGTGGTGCTATACTGTGAACAAGACTAGTGATGTGAGACAGGTTATAAACAACCCTCTGCTTTCCACCTTGACAAAGGAGCAAGCAGCCAAAAGCAGGAATTTCTTGGACTGCTACTGCTGCCAAGTCCTTTTCATCATGGAAACACAGTCTTGGTCTTGGCTTTTCCCCGACTGTACCACTTTTCTCCCATTTAAAAAAGCAACATACAGATTTAAAAGCATTTCAGAAACAGAAATGCTACATGTACAATTCCACCCACAGGGGATAACAAATGTGACATCCCCTGAGTGCTGGACAATACTTTGACAGTTCAGTAAGTGACACATAACCACCTCTTGGGAGCTGGAAGGACAGAATGGCTTGGAGAGCCATATGTGGAGGCAAGCAGGGCCTGTGGGATCCCCAAAACAACAGGAGGAACAGAGTAGACTGGGCTGCAGCCATGACTAGAGGGCCCCAGGTATGAACAGAAGGAAGAGCCACCCAGACTGGAAGCTTTGATAAACTGAAAGAATGAAGCTGATCAGAACCACCAGAGTCAGGATGTGGCCCTGGCCTGGCTACGGACAGCAGCACCGTTGGTAGAAGGATGGAGAAAGCTACTCAGGCAGCAGCATCCCATCTGTTCCTCCCAGGGTTTTACTGCCTCCTGAAATCTCTCAGAGGCGCCTGCATGAGAGAAAAGAATACTAGAAAAACGAGTTAGTATGTACCTGTCATACTGGGTAACAGTGGAGTCCAGGAAGGTTCCATCCCCTTTGATGCAGCCAAGACAAAGTAATGAGAACATTTCAGATGCCATTCCTGTAGCGAGCCCAAAGAAAAGAACAGAAACAAACAATGCCCCTCAAAATCTTAGAGCAAGCAGTAGTAGGATCTAGAATGGCCAGGGTGATCAAACCAAAGACCAATCTAGCCTAGCACTGTTTCCAGCAGCAGCCAAAATCAGAAAACTGAAGTTGAATCTGAGAAAGAGCAAGTGTGTAACCACCTTCCTCACCTTGACCTTCAGAAATTTACAGCTCGGGGATTTTCTAAGCAAGAGGCTGTGTTTTTGTATTGAACAATCCTTGATGCATCCTTCATCTATGAACACATCCCTTCACTCTTTGACCTGACATAAGCTTTTATCATCTGTAACACTCTGTGGCAAGGAGCTCCATACCTTAATCATATGTTGCATGAGTAAATTTTTTTTTTTTTTTAATATCAGCTCCCCTTTATACTTCCCAGTTCTGATCATAGAAAAGAGTGGGGGCTTAACACCAGAGGGATTAATGTTTCTTAAAGGTCATGGAATATAAGCAATTCCAAAGAAATCACAAACATTCAAAGGTGCAACGTGGTCTCTGTTGGCCCATAACACATCAGCATGTTTTCCAGTAGGGCCTTGGAATCCCTCAGAGGCAGAGGTGGGCAGGAAGTCAGCAGCAATACCAGAGCCCAGCCTGGCTTTTATGGACTTTAGGGAATTGAGGATGTTCGTTGCCATGGGGTGGGATATATTCTGTCATCCACATGACTAAAAGGCATAAACATGAATTTAAAAGGAAGGCCCAATAAATCACAATATTAGCATCGTCACCCAAACTTCTACCAGAAGTTAAAAAGCATCTTTTGAAAAGTGATACCCAAAAATTAATAGAAATACTTAAAAAGGAAGAATCCACTATTTGTCCCTAGGCAAATTATTCTAAAAATGAGTCACTCTCACCACTGTGTATTTCAATTTCTTACCTAATTCAATCAGGCTTGTTTCCACCAAGACCTGGATCTTACTTTATCTTTCCCTCAAAGGTAAATTGCAGAGTGCTCTACTACCACACAGCTTACTCCTATGCACAGTTTTCAGCCTGCACTTGTGTACACGTTAAGCTCCTCTATAGGGAAAATGATGAACCTTTACTCTCTCACTGTGTGAGCAATCACCTTGATCTGCAATAATTCTTGTAGACATTTCTACACCACTTTGCAAGTCTGCCAGCATTTTTCAGTCTTTTCACTTCTGCATTCTTGTAGCAGAGCAGATACTGCATGTTGGCAAAATAAATGCAAGCACGTTAGATTGTTTTCCTACTGCAGTCTGGTAAGATTTCTAGAGATATTTATAAGCAGAGAACCACAAAAATCAAAGGGGAAACTTCTAGTAAGTATCCTACAGGATATTTATCTCAAAGTTACTCACTATCTTTGGCTTATCTTCTAGACTTTAAACAGTTGCACACTTTGCCAGTAGTTAACACAAAAATAGCAAAGAACAGAGTCAGAGCGAAATTTCAATCGTTAATATAGGAATGACAAAGTCAGACCAAAAAATACCTGAAACTACTAACCTATGACAAGCAGTAATGGGCTATGGAAATGCAAGAGCAGGACAAGTGTATCCACTTCCCCCAGGAATGCTCCCAACCACTTGCAGTCAGGAAACCCAAGTGTATTTTTATGTATTCAGTAATCCTCAATGGATTTCTCTTTTGCCAAAATTGCCCCTTGAAGCAACACAAACTTTTAGCATCTACCTCTGTTACACCACCAGCTAGTTCGCTATGCTAGGACTGTCTCCCCGAGAGACCACTCACTGAGTAAGAACAAGAGGCTTTTCCAACACCAAAGAGAATCTCCTTCCAATGCTACCCGCCCCAGTTTCACATGCAGCTTCCTGGGAGCTCTGCATTAACTAAGTCTGATTCGAGATCCTTTCTGCTGACAGGAACACCTACACCTCCGCAGCTCCTGTACAGAACTGTGACCATAAGGGACTGCAGACAGCTTATCATACCAAAGCCAGCTCACTGGTGGTCAGAGTACAGGGGGGTTACCTCATATTCATCAAACGGCTCCAGAGCCTGCACTCTCTGCTGCTCATCTTCTGGAGTACAACAGGTGAAAAACTCATTCATATCCATGACGCTGCACTCAGTCCAGCCCTGGAACAGAAACTCCTCAAAATTATTACTTCTGAACAGATAGAGACTCACTTCCCACAAGAAAACAAAGACTCTTAATTAAACACCTGCATGAGCCTTTAAGCCTGTCCAGCTGGAACAAGAGCAGCCCAGAATCTGGTGAAGATAGATCTCTTACCTGTAAAGCTCTCAAGAACTCTATTTATTATATCAAAAGTCTCAGGGGAACCCATCTTGCCTTAATCCCCTACCAGAAAATAGGCTGCAAGTTGGTTGGAAGGACCGTCAGATGCCTTGTCATGCTACTAGAGAAGGCAGCACCTCAGCCTTGGCCCCGCTTGCTCCAACCCGAACCGGACGGAGCTGAGACTCACAGGACGGTTTGAGGTCACCACCTGTCCCAGGTGACCACGCTCCACGCGTGCCCAAGAGCTGCAGGTACTCACCCGCTCAGAAAAGCGCCTCCGCTGCGCCTCACAATCCGGGTACTGTGCCAGAGAACGAAGCGCAGAGCTCAGCTGCCGGAAATGCTGCTGCATGACGCGTCCGAAGGGGTCCCCGGGGCGCGTCTGCTCGTACAGCAGGAAGCAGGCCCGAGGGAAACGCTCCGCTGCCCACCGGACCAGGGCGTCTGACCTGCAGCACAATGGGCGCCGGGATTAAACAACGGAGGGGCCACCCTGCCGCAGCACCCCCACGCTGCTGTTAGGGCACCCCGACAGAGGGAATGCACATGAGAACCCTCCACTTGCGACTTACAAACGTCTTCTCCCCAGAGAATTCAGGGAATGAGAAGAAGAAAAAAAAAAAAGTCAGAACCACTCATTTGAGGTGATGGTTTTTCTGTCTTTCCTCCCTTTTAGGATGTCACGTGGACATCAACTACCCCACCACAATTACGGTGTAAGGAGCTGTTTGGGACTTCCACAGAATTCTTGGGGCTTTGGCTATACAACCCCAGGTCTCCCTGCCCCAGGAGACGTACGTATCACGCAGCTTGTTCTTTGCCTTTTACCACTCAGGTAACAGGGTAACTCAACTGACCTGCTACTTTCCATGTAGGCCAGCACGACCTCTGCTATGAAGAGGGTGGGGATTTCATTGTCCAGTCCTGCTTCCTCCAGGGCTCTCTCCAGCTCAGACAGCTCTGATAAATCTACTCCCAGTAATTTATAATCCTCTCCAGAAAAGGGAATGACTCCTAGGAGACAAAAACGACACAATCTCACTACAGTGCTGATGCAATACTGAAGACGAAAAGGGGCAAAGAAGAAAATCAACCCCACAGGCAGCCGCTCACGAGGCTCTGCCCATCAACTGCATTTCTCTGGAACATGTCCAAGAAAATCCCCATCACCATAGGAACCATAAAGGGACAGGGTCAAGAAGCGATCCATTAACTGCAGATCTAAAACTCCATTATTCCTAATGCAAATTTCACCCACAGATTTCTCACAGAATTATTACACTTATAACAACAAAACTTTATAATATTTCCTTCAATAACATTTTTATAGCACCACTACAATTCAGAGTCAGATCTTAAGGACTCTCATTCATAGATCTTTCCATTTGGGCTAAGAAAGTCCCATTGCTTTGAGAGAATTTGAATGGCTTGCCCCACAACCGTAAAACCCTTCTCAATTTTGGGGGGGGTTGTCTTTTCAATAGATTTCATTTCTGTGCAATGGCACTGAATCCTGACCCAGTGCCTGCTAGCTCTCTGTAAACACCAGGACTAGTCTCACAGATTGCTGTTCTCAGAAGTAAGTTCAGATTTATTATTTGCAAACACGATCCTGGCATACCTCTGTACTCCAGAAAAATACCATATGCTATACCCTGTTTACCTGTTTCAACCAAACCCAAATCTAACAAAGCAAACTGTGAAGTACCTTTAGAAATCGCCTACTCTGTGTCTCTGTACCAGAGCAATCCAACAATTGCACCTGTCCTGAGATTATCTTAATCCACACTGTTCTCAGAGGCATCCCTACTGGAGGCAAAACGGCCTCTTCAGAACCGCACCTGGGCATCCCTGTTACGTTCTTCTAACAAGTAACTGTCTATCCATCACCTCCTGCCCTCTGGACACAGAGAACAGGGTATTCCCTGCTTTTAGCTGAAGAACTTGAAGATTATTGGTATGGACAGAATTCTCTGCCTTGGGATGCTGCCAGTATTAAATGGATTCAAGAGGAAACTGAGCAAGCTCATGGAAGAGCCACTCACCAAGACTTGTCCAACTGCTCACAGGGGCCGGGGACTCGGGCTCTGCACTGAGCTCTGCAGCCATCTTACAGCTGTATTTCCATTGATTATTACAGCCTAAACGTGGCGGCTTACATATGTCCCCATTGTATTTCATTCCACATTTTCCAGACCATTCATGTCCTTTGTCAAAATCCCACTCTCACCCACCATATTGCAACTCTCCCTGTTTCCCACCAGCTTATTACATTTCCACCTTCTATAGCGTATCATCTAGAACATCAATGGAAACACTGAAGGAAATCAGATGCAGGAGAAACCTCTAGTGAACCCCATACTTTACATTCCTCCATTTTGCCACTGAACTGTCCCTTAGCTGGTGTAACAATCCTTTCAGCTCTGCCTATATTCTACAGTAGTTTCAAAAGGCTCACTTCTTCCTGCCTTGGAGAGGGAAAAAAAAAAGTCACGTAACAAGTAATGTTTTATTACAAGTCAAGACACTTAAGAGTCATACACTCTCTCCTACCCATAAAGCCCACAAATCACAGTATCATTCAGGCTGAAAGGGGCCTTTGAAGGTCGTCTAGTCCAGCTCCTTGCTCACAGCAGAGTTACCTGTATCAGACTCAAGGCTTTGTTCAGTCAAACTCTTAACTATCTCCAAGACTGGAGATCCCACCACCTTTCTGGGCAATGTGTTCCCATTTGTAACTACTCACACAGCAGGAAAAAAAAAATCATTATACGTAACTGGAATTTCCTTTGTTGCAACTTGCAACCACTGCCCCTTGATGCCATTAGAAGTCTGGCTCTGCCTTTCCTACACTCTTCATTATGCAGCTGAAGGCTGGGGTAAGACCCACCTTCCTCCCTCCCAACCTCCTCCTCTTAAGGCTGAACAAAGCTGAATCCCTCAGCCTTCGCTGCTCTGCCATGTGCTCCACCTCCTCATCCCTGCCATGACCTCCCAGCAGACACGCTGCGTTTGCCACTGTCTTTGTACTAGTGAGCCCCAGGCTGGACACAGCACTGCAGAAACTGTGACAGAAAGAAACTGAGCTTGGCTGGACACAACCTGCTCCTGACAAATCCCTTCTGCCAGCTAGACATCTTCTTGCCATCTCCCAGTGCTTATGAAGGATTTACTTGTGCCAAAATTTTTCAGAAAATGAACACGCTTTTCACCTACTTCTTAGTTCCTCTACCATATCTCACTTTTTAAAGGCTGAAGCTATGTTTGCTTCTTCTAAATATTCAGTATCTAGAAAAGCCTCCAGAAATATCATACCTAATCCTTCTCCTCCAGTATCTCCCACCAGTGCTGACAACTCTTTCATTCTTTTGATCAGAGCAGCTTTCTGGCATGCCACGTTGGGGAAATCCACCTCATACACCACAGTGTGATGCAGAAGACCTAAGTCCTTCAAACGGAAGTATAAGGAGTCAAAGCCAGCACCTAAAGACAGGATCTGCAGAGAAAGTATCAGAGAAAGTTATACACAACTCCAGCCACATCCTGAGGATCTAGGTGTGACAAATATTCAACACCATCACAGTGACAGAATCAGGCAATCTCCTGCAAGAGACTGAAGAATTCTGTGCAGGTACTGTCCCCTCCCAGGTATTTCAGCAGTGCCAGTCACATTCCCTGTGCTCTTCCTGCAAAGGATCACGACATGCACTAATAACCCAGTGCCGAGATGCCAAAAAGACCTTTCACACATACACTGGGAACTGCCAGTACACCCAGACAAGGAAAATGCACCTGTGTCCTCGGGCAGCCTTGGGTCTTCAGCAGGAAGTCCTGAACACAGTGATCTACAGCACGGACGCGGATGTAGTAGCCCCTGTGGAAGGAAATTCAGTTGTACTCACTGTCCAGGAACCCTATGTCTCCAGCACTGGCATCCTCTGTTTCAAAACACTGACTTTTTCTCTCTCAGCTTCTACCCATTTATATATATAACCCCACATTTACATACATGCACTGGGAGATGTCTGGTGATTTTGTCATACCTAGAGCTTGTTAATAAATGCAGTGTATTAACTAACAAGCCTATGGATAAGTCAGAGAAAACATGCAGATATCCCAGCTGGACCTGTTCTGGTTTGCATAAACATTCACTGGATGAAAAAGTATGAATCCAGTTAGGATGCTCCCCTGCAATGGGGGTGAGCCCATACCTGAGATCCTGACCCACATCACATGACATTAACAATATGAATTTAACTCCTTTTCGTACAAAGTGTGTGCAAATTCAGTGAGAGGGGAACAAAAAAGGGAAGAGAGGCAAAGTCAGGAAAGGAACTTAATTCTCTGGTTTTTGATGAATGAATGAATGAATGAATGAATGGAACTAAGTCAGTCTAACTCCTGGAAAGCGTTTCCATTTGCCTAGTCTGGCAGGGACCGGTGCCTCTTTTTCCTTAGCATTTTCCTGTAGGTAGTTCCACTGTGGCCCCACCAGGCCTACCAGTACCCATCACGCCCTTTAACAAGCACATCACCATCCCCGCGCCTCACAGGGACTAAAGATTGCACTACATGTCCTACGATGTCCCAATTATTCCTGATGCCAGCACATAACACTTCCTGTGAATTTAGTCTGGCATGTCAGTGTCATGTGACAAGTCAACACTGGCCTGATGAGCAACACTTGTCTTCACAGGCCTGCAAAATTGTTTGAACACCACTTTTTTTTTTCTTCCCCTGAATGAAACTCCTTTCGCAATTAATTTTCATTGCCTTAGACTATGAGCCTCATATTACCTAAAGTCCAACTACCAGACCAGCACAGAACCTTACACACATACACATTAAAACATTCAAGCTCATGCCCTGAAAAGCTCCAGAGAAGACCTAGAGGTCAGAACCACGGAGCCAAAGGACAAAATTGTTTCCCTGAGCCGCCGAATACCCACGTGGAGTTGTAACGTTCTTGAGAATTAATGAGAAAACTGTTGATGTGCCAACATCTTTAGTACGTTAGTTTTCAAATCTTATCTAAAGTAGTTTTCAGCAGCACTGAATACTGGTGTTAGGAACTGGTCCGGTGAGATATTTTACTCGGGACAAAGCTTTCAATTTTTGCCCATAAGCGATGTGAAAGGATATTCACTGTCTAAAGAGGTCGCGCTCCTGAGAGCACTCCGCAAGTCACCGCTACACGTGCTCTCCTTAACACGCACTTTCAAAGCCGCCCCTCGGGTGGAAGCGACCGCTCTCGGGGCGCGAGGGGCACGGCCGGGGGACCCCGTTCTGCAGCCGGAGAGGGGGCTGCGGGCCCCACGTGTGCAGCCACGGAAGCCGCGGGCCTCG